AATAAAAAATATACTACCAATTCCGAGAACCTACACAAACTCAAACATATGGTACAGATTTCTAGTGAACCTCCGTAGCAGTAAAACTATAACCCGGCTCGGAAGTCTCCTTGATGATTTACTTTCCGAAAGTGGGTTGTCACCTATTAAATATCAATGTGTTTAGTAATGATTTATACAAATAAAGGTATATAACACGTAAGAATTGATATTTGAATATCCTTTGCAATTAATTGTAACTTTCAAAGCATCATTCAAAATCATTATTGCATAAAAGTTTGTACTAATATCAAGTTTTAATTTGTATCCTATTACATAAATTTACATGTATTCACCCGAGTGCACTAAAAAAAGTAGGAAAAAAAAATGAACGGTTTATTTCGGAGGTCGATATTCATTACATTCTTATTATCTCATACTTTTCCGTCTAAACACAAGTCTTGAGTATCCGAAGCTTTTAATTAATACAATATCATGTGTCAAAATTAAAAAAATTCAGATTCACTTTGTCTTCACTACGTATATATAACTCATATATAATGGCTAATATTTGAACGAAGGATATTCGTTTCGATAAATTCTCTTCAGGTTCCACAATTATATATCCAAATTAATAATCCAAAAAAATGGACAGGTTGAGGGCAAAGTACATCGTTCAAAGTACGTTAATTTAGGATTGTTAAACAAAAAACACTAAGAATTATTCTAGATAGGTATAACTCTCTTTACCATACTATAGCTAAATGGTTGGTAATTCTATTGAAACCTCTCCATGAAAAGCTTGTAAAACATAGTGTTCAGGATGTATTCCAATTTGTTGACAAAATCAAAAATGCAAATAAGTAGAGATTAAAGACGATGTTATTGGATGCAACATCGTTATTCACAAACGTCCAACTCATAGAGACTGTGGAATATATAGGTGAACAACGGATTGAAAATGAAATTGAAACTACTATTCCTATGAATGTCGTGAGAGTTATTACTCAAATGCACCACATATGTGAATTTCAGGTTCAACGGTGAAATATATAGACAAACAGATGGTGTTGCAGTGGGTTTACAACTGGGCCCTATACTAGCTGATATTTTTCTAGTCAAACTAGAAAATGATCCCTTAGAAAAGATTATGCAAAACTCCACATTTTACTGTAGATATATGGATGACACGTTCATCCTCTGTAAAGATAATACGTTACAGCATGGGGTTCTTAGGCGTTTTAATGAGGTATATCCAGCCAATCAGTTTACATCTGAAGAGAGTGATGGTGGAATAGCCTTTTTGGACGTTCTCTTAACTAAAAGAGCGGATGGATCGTTAAAGAGAAACTTAAACAGAAAAAGTACATGGACTGGGCAGTATACGTAATTCCTTAGCTTCGTACCTCTACAGTACAAACGAAACTTGATCAAAACCCTTAGTTAACGTATACTCACTATATGTTCTGCTGATATAATTCAAGATGAGCCTAACGCCTTGCGTAATACTCTCAAGGAGAATGGTTACCCTAGAAAGTTTATAATTAAATATATGATCACGAAAGTAGGCGGGATGCAAACACTGAAGAAGTCTCAGTTCATGCGTCTACAATTCAGAAGGGATGTGGCTAGTCAAATATTAGCTCAGAGATTACACAGGACAATACAAAAATCACTTAACGCCGAAGAACTGCACCCAATGGTGACACCGAGGCCATAAGATGAATCGCCTAGAATAACTACCTAATTTTGTATTTATCAGTTCGACTGCTCCTGTGGAGCGAGTTCTATTGGTCGAAGTTCTAGGAATTTACATTTTCGTGCTCGATAACACCTACCAGCGTAGCTAAACAAAGGTTTGATGAAGAAAGTGAACGGCTCGATATTGGCCCATTTAGTACGAACTGGTCATAGTGACAGTATAAACCAATCTTCTTCAACTATTTTTTTGCCAAAGCCCTTCAAACGGCTGAAGCAGTAGCCAACTGGATGAAGAAACCGGAGCTATGAGTACAGAAGATATATCTCCAACCACTCCTCTTACCCTGACCAACATCAGGTCAGTGACATAATTCGACTACGAACTTTCATAGTCAGCTATAATTGCATGTTATCTTTATTTACAAATCTTTGTATTATTATTATTGTTTAAGCATCATTATTAATCTTTCCTATACATGATTCATTCACTATGCATTTATCCCTCTTTATTACGTTTTATTAATTTTTCACACTATATAGCCCTCCACAAAACATTTGACCGAATTAGAATGAGTTTTGTGGAGAATTTAGGAAACTTCACAGGTTGAAATCATGAGTCAATTGAAGCTAGACCACGATGGAAAACCTGGAAGCACTGAACGGCCGTTTTTCGTCATAGTATGGGACTCCTCAGCAGTGCACATCCACGATCCCGCACCACGCGGGGCTCGAACCCAGGACCAACTGGCTTCGCGCGCGAGCACTTAAACATTAGACCACTAACCGGCATCCAACGGTGTTAATGTCTAACTTCAACCAATCCATGATGTTGCGCCACCGAACACCATTGTCTTCAGTGAGCTGATATCTCACAACAGACTTAACCTGGCCATTTTTCGGATTATTAATTTGGATACATAATTGTAAAAAAGGATATTCTTCGTTCGAATATTAGCCTTCTTAATATGGGGATCATTACACGATAATATATATTATAATATTTGATTACCCTTTGCAATTAATTGAAACAAACAAAGCATCACTCCAAATTACTACTGAATAAGCACATAGACTACTGTCAAATCTTATCGTAATAACCATTTATTTTTGTTCTGTGTTCACAAACACACTTACTAAACTATTGACGTATTTCGCGTTTCCTTCATTTCTATTCCCGTGATTAGACTGCCTACAACGTAAATACATTTCCACACCGAAAACCCAACACCATCCAACAACAATAAACAATCAAAAATTTAAGGATCGGGAATACAAAACTCATCTGACACCTGTCAGACTATTTACAAATCTGACTAAACAGACAACCAATCGAGATCATTCTCGCCCATAAATCATAAACCCATTGGACCCAAGCTGGACAGAAACGAATAGATTCGGAAGAGTTGCTGCTGTACTCTGGTCACGAGGAAGAAAATGCTCCGCACACAGGGAGTTGTTCTGATGACATCCAAAGAAGCACGTAAAGCACTCATAGGATGCGAACCTCATGGACCCAGAATCATCAAAGCATCCTTCAAACACAAAGAAGGAGGGAATCACAATGAATGTTATCCAATGTTATGCACCAAGCAATGATAGCAATGACGACGATAAATATCAGTTTTTTGAGAGGCTACAATCAATCTTAGCGAAGTGCCCAGGAAGGGACCTGATCATTCTGATGGGAGGCTTAAATGCCAAATTCGGGCATGAAGATGTCATGGGACGACATGGACTGACTGGGAGAAAGAAACGAGAATGTTGAAAGATTCGCAAATCTATGTGCATTCAACAAAATGGTTATAGGTGGCACAATATTCCCACACAAACACATACACAAAGCTACATGGGTCTCACCAGACCACACTACAGAGATTTAGACGGATCATATTTACATCAGTAAAAAGTTCGGAAAGTCGGAAGACGTAAGAACTAGGAGAGAAGCTGACATAGCTTCAGATCACCACATGGTGGTAGCCGAAATGAAACTGAAGATAAAGAAGCATTGGATAACTAGAGAGACAGCATTAAAAACGTTCAATACAGCATTCCTTTGAAATACTGACAAATCCAAGATAGCTCTCAGCATCAGGTTCCAAGCCCTACAAGATCTACTCAAAGAAGATGAAACCACTATGGAGGATAATTGAAAAAGGATAAAAAAGTATAGTGGACAGCTTGCATGCAACTAGACGATTTGGATTTCGTATATGACCTAGCCCTTCCTATCCCACACACATCGACAGATGTAGGTGAAGAAAGCCAGTGTAGTAGCAGCATGCCTCAACAAACAACAGAAAAAGTAACAAATAAATCACACCTGATGGAGCTTGGAAAGAGGTGGAAGCTTTTGCGTATCTGGACAGTATCAGCAATAAACAAGTGGGATCTAATGCAGATGTGAAGGTATGGATTGGGAGAGCAAGGGCAGCATTCATACAGTTGAAGAACACATGGAACTCAAAACAACTGTCAACCAATATCAAAGTCACAATCATCAATACGAACGTCAGGACAGTTCTACTGTACGGAGCTGAAACTTCCAGAACTATCACAACCATCATCGAAAAGGTACAAATATTTATAAATAGCTGTCTACGGGAGATATTCAACATCCATTGATTGGATACCATCATCAACAGCCTTCTCTGGGAGAGAACAAACCAGTTTCCAGCTGAAGAGGGAATTGGGAATAGACGATGAAAGTGGGTAGGACATACATCGCGGAAACCATCAGACTGCACCCCATGGAATCCTCAAGGTAAAAGGAAAAGAGGTAGACCAAAGAACACATTGCCCCTGAAACCTCAGACAGACACCAAAAGAATGGACAACACTTGGGAAGTTCCAGGGAGAAGAGCCCAAGACAGTGTTGGTTGAGGATTCCTAGTTGGCGATCTATGTTCTACGAGGGGTGCTTTGATGTCCTGGTGTCCGTAAGTAGTTGGTTTATTGATACTTTCATTACCGTACTTGGAACCACTAAACACACTGATAAAGTGTCAAAGTACATAAGACTACTAAAATAAATAGTGAAATCTCGAAGAAACAGCAAGAGCATAAATTATGAATATTTTGAAAATAAAATAGTGATTAGTAAGGCATACGGAGTAGTTTACAGTAAAAAATCAGACAACTAGTTTAATTTATTTATTGGGAAACATATGGATTGAAATTAAGAGTACAATCGACCAGTGAGACAAATGAATGACATGTTCACTTGCTTCTATGATGTTACATTACCGATAACGATTACTGTCTTTTTTCTTACCTATCAACCATTTACAAAGATAAAGAAGTTATTAAAATTTGGGAGAGAATCATTTTGAAAATAGATTGTAGATGGAACTCTATTTAGAATGACTGTATTTATATTTCTTCTTCGCATACATTTGACAAATATGAAGCAAAACAAAAGAATACAACACTATGACTAATATAAACATCAATTTATTATAAAACCACTACTTGACATAAAAGGGAAAATTAAACAAATATCCTCTCACAATACCAACCTTTCCTTTTTAACAGGTATATTACACTCTGGAACATCATTCTTATTTAGATTATTTTTAGTGTTGAAATGTGTGCGAGTGGTAGCATAATCTTGATTGTCTATCTGAGTATTATCCGTTTTCGAAACATTATCAACAACAATCAGAGGAGATGAAAAATCTCTCAAACTATACGTATGATTATTCAATGTAGAAAGCCATTGGAACATACTGAACATTAACAATAGAATTGACAAAAGTTAAAGAAATTGACGGTTGTTGGAAATATGCTAACATCTTAAAGAATACAACGAACATATGGAATTCCGTGACAAGCAAAAACATGGTACAATCACAAATAATGTTGCTAGATCATAAGTGGAAGACCAGGTTGCCTGTTGTGGTGACTAAAATAAAGTCATATTGGCTTGGGCATTTGATTCTTTATGTATTATCAACATAGACAAGTAAGTTGCAGAGGGAGCAACGACAAGAGAACCATATTTATGGTCAGAAAGTGATGTGAACAGAAAAACAAGACGGCTTAACAAACTACGGAAGCTATTTTTGGGGACATTACTTCATTTAATTTAAAGCTTGTAAAACAGTAACACTTATTTTTGTTCCTAGTCTATTCTACAGATTATAAGCTTTGGTTTGACGTACGATTCACTGCTAAAGCCCGTTTTGTTCCAAAGCTATTGTAATTTAAACGTATCATTTTGTACTCTTTTCTACGCTCATCTCCAGTTTGGGACATAATTGATTTTCCTAATTATTGTATGGTCGGGTCCGAAATCGGGAATCAATAGTAGTGTTCTAGTTGACTGTCTTCTCTCACTCGCATGCGTGTCAGCCAATCAGTTGGTAGAACAGTTATCTGCTTTCTACCCCACTTCGAACTCACACATACTAACCTCAAGGTTAAGCCGGTCAGCCTATCGCGTCAAGGTCTTAATCTAGATTAGACAAGTTACACTAAGCACCAAGGTGGGTAGACAGATCAAAGGACGTAACAGTTACATTGCCATCTGTACACGAGTGTGAGAAGCGAAAAGGACTTCTACATGACCAGAAACTCCGGTGGTGCTGAATTCTCATAATGAGTCGAACCTAAAATTACACAGTTCACCTTGTTTCCCGAATTACCGTCGAAATGCGAAGATCCAATATTCCGACATCTATTGACAAAACGGACATGTGTAACAGACATAAAGTAGTTGTACTTTGAGTTTTGCGGTCTCACTCACAGGTCACTAGGTTGCAGTTAACAAAGTCTCGTATAGCGACACACGAAGTATTCTTCCATTAGGTGGGCGACAAAGAAATGACAACTATACGCATACGTTTAACAGCACTGTAGATCGCAATGACAACTATCATTATCGTGACTTGTAGAGTTAGGTAAAACAATGGGGCAGTCCGAAGCATATGTCAGAATGGACACCACGCTTATCTAAGACATAAGAATCCCGTTCAGTCAGTCAGCTACAATGTAGGACCAGGCATACATATGCATCGGTCCAAGTTACCATACCTCAATAACACAACAAGATGGACACCGGATTCATAAAAGTAGTTAATTCAGAGGTGGTAATATACAAAAAAGATTGCAATAAGGATATAGTACAGGAAGAAACAATTAGTTTACAGAAAGAAAGATATGAAGCGTTCTAAACGTCTGAACTGGGAGCAGATGAGAGTATCGTCTGACTTACACTTGACTTATCAATTCCAGTTTCTTTTATTAGTCTCTAAAGCTGTCTTATGTTCCCTATAGCCGCCGACTTTTCCATCTCTTTTGCTTTCGTTGCCCACCACTGCTCACGGTCGTTACTTTTGCTTAACCTAGATCTGATTTGTTTACACTATTCATAGTGTTCAGAAACTGATGGGATAAGTTTACGAGAATCCATCAGCGACAATCTTTTATCGACCCTCTCCAACGATGACTGATGGCAATATGGTCTATTTGAGTCCATCGTTGGTTTGGTGTAGGGGGTCGCCATGTTAGACGTTGTCTCTCCTTATGCTTAAAATTTGTGTTTGCTAAAAATAAACGACTGTCTGAATATAGTTGCAGCAGACGATCACCATTATCTGTTAGCTGTGGCGGAATACTAAAATATCCAATTAAATGCCTTTCTGTTTGGTTTAAACTACCTATCTGAGCATTAAAGTCACCCCCAACGAGTACTATGTTTGAACGTTTAGCTTTCTGTAAAATTCATTTTTCATTTCATCTGAGCTGCAGTCGGTGAGAGCGTAGGCAGAAACGACAAAAAGGCAACGACGTGTGTCCCTATCCTTCCGAGTTCTTACGGAGCCATTTAGCCGGACAGCACATAGACGACTGTTGACGGGGATCCACTCTAACAGTGCTTGTTCAGCCCTCATGCTTAGTGCTATCCCTACTCCTGCCAGTCCACCAGAGCTGGCCATCGGGTCACCAGATACACGGAGAGTGTATCACGTTGGCTCTCCGTTTTGCCGATGTGAGGTTAAGTGAATGACCACACTGGGACTCTGTATGCGTGTTTTGGAGATACAGAATACATCAATGGTACGAGATTCTAGGGTTCTAGCCAAGGAAGCCTGTTGACCGATTTGACATAGGGTGCGTACATTGAAGGCTTCAATGTGTAGTTTGGAGAGAGGTTTCAGTAGAAATGGGATAGTGTTTTGCGCACTAGAATCGTTGGCTATGATGACACTTGAGGGGGAAGCCGAAAAAGGAAGTTTAGAGGTGAAAGTCGATGTAGAAGGAGTAATAGGAAATGAAGACGGAGGTTGGTTATGAATACAATGGTCTTGAGTGCTGTTAGAGGTATGAGGGCGGTTGTCACTTCCCGGTCGCCCACACCGTGGAAGGGTTGTTCTGGAGGTACCTGAAAAGGAAATCGGATTAGAAGTGGTCTTAGTGACCAGGCAGCGTGACCGCAGTGTCCAAGGGACAACTGCTTGAGGTCGGTCACACACGACCTTTTTATGGGCAATTTTTGTGTTAGCTCCGTACTTGTTGAGACCTTACCGCCGGAGACGGATATCCATGGGATAAGGCGAGGTGTCCTTTTTCAGGGTTTGTTGCTTTCAGTCTTACCGCTCTTCAACCGACCTTTCTGACGTGGTAGGACCTTGAGGAACGGTTGTTACAGCCAGTATAGCTCGGTTGCTTCATCACGATAAGCAAGCCCGACCACCACTTCAAGGTAGCAACAACGGTCGAGTAAGAAACTCGTTGCATTTTCGAAATACAATTAAAGGAACAGGAATATACTTTCAGACTATAGTTGTATTCCCTGAACTTAAGGCGACGTGCGACTCTGTTGATCGTGAGGTTCTGTAGCAATGTCTGTCATTGAAAGGAATTCCAAATTACATTAACATCGTACAGGCTCTCTACTCCAACACTAATTGTTTAGTCAGAGCTTATGGCCATCTGTCATCGAAATTAGTTACTTCAAGTGGTGTTCATCAATGTTATTCGCATTCCCAATTTTATTTAACTTCGCCATAGACATGCTTTTACCAAATAACACTTTCATCGTCCGACTTTAAAAGGGTTGACTTTCTACAAGGATATTCAGTTTTTCACTTAGAATACGCGAAATCGTTAGCAATGGTGCACGTGCATCGATTCCCTGTCTAACTCCAGACTTGCTTGACGAGACATATGAAGCCAATTACTAGTGTGGACATGATCACTTTTTACTTGATTTTTCATTAGGAAGTGATTGCACAGAAAGACTATCAGTTTTACATAGCCACCTTTTTTAAGAAACCACAGTTGCAAGGAAATAATTATACACTGAAACTTAACTACTTGGGTACATGAAAGACGGTGGTACGGATAACAAACTAATATTGAATACTTCATGAATATGAAAGGATACGACTTTTCCGCTGACTCAATTCGATCAATATGTTCATATACATATTGCATCTTGAATTCGTTTCTTTGTTCCTATTAATAGAAAGGGAAAAAATAGGCAGAGTATATTATTTAAAATCTAATAAAACACATAAACTACACATTAAATTAGCATCAGCGCTAACGACTAGAAAAGTATAGCACTGTTTAATATTACTGCTTTGTGATTAGTGTGTAAAAAATTCAGTCCTCGAATAGCTCTGTAGTCACTCCTGTGATCACTGACATTAAATTCTCATTAAGAGCGCTATTTGTCTTAAGAATAAAGATATAATTTGTCGACGAGTTTCAGCAAGTCAGTCAGTCAGTAACAACATAGAACTACGTACATCAGTACAAGTTTCCACACCACATTAGCACACAGCTGCAGTTGTCGATTCAAATCCCGTAGTGGTAGAGGTAGTAAGAGTATAAGCAGTAATCAGAGACATTAGGGTTTGAAGCTGTTATTCAAGGAGTATAATCCAGTGAAAGAAATTTGGAAAAAGAAGAAAAAGAGACGGAGTGAGTTTCAGCAAACAAGAAACCGAAGAAAAACTGACGTTTTGCCTCCAGTTATCTAACACTGGAAAACAAGGATACAATGAACAAGTAAAAAATTGACTATTGCATCATATTTAATACTATCCGAATGCTCTTCTTTAGATAAACATTTAGATTTTAATTCGTGAAAGACAAAGAAGAGAGTTATCGAGTCTGTGCATGAAGGTTGACTAAGGTGTTTTGTGGAAAACGACAGAACAATTGTATGGTAAACTTTTATTACGGACTTACGTAAAAGTCAAAGAACTATTGTGTGAGGGCTAGGATACTGCTTAAGTGCCACTCCCTGGGCCTTTGACCGTAAGGCCTAATCCACAAGATAGTGGAGTAACGTAAGGAGATAGTCTGATAGTTGTCGGTGATCAACAACAGGCTAATACGCCATACTGGAGCCCACGTGTAACATTGGTTTGTAACCAGGGTTTTACAGCTCACGTAGGTGGATCCTCCGTGTCCACCAACCCGGTTAAAGCGCCCGAGTTTCGCTTTTCGTCCTACCGATTTCGTAAATAACACCCTCACCGCGAGAATGAAATAGCTTCGTACATGAGGCTAAATCCAGACTTTTAACTAATTTGCGATATAGTACAACCCAAATTTATAATGTGATATAAAAAAACAATTATTGAAAACCTCACTGGAAATGAAAATAGTTTACAGACAGACTTCAATAAAAAAGTTTATTTGTGTCAAATTGATAAAGCAAGTAGTAGAATGATTCGAAAAACTCACTTCATATTTACTCCAATCAATTGGTTGATGGATACCGTCATTTTGATATTTTGTATTATACTGACTGAAGTCCACTCGGTTAAGCATAAGACCTAGTCCTGGAGCTTTCGGTATATCTACCTACATATAAATGAAAGAGAGAGAAAGATGAGCATAAACGTGTCGACAGTCTAATGACAAAAGTTGGAAACTGTAAATAGGTTGTTAGTTCTTATACCACAGAAACACACAATTGAATTTGATGAAACGGTTCCGTTCATTAGTATATTCTACAAATTCTGTGGTAATATAAAGCATGATGCTTGCTTTTTGTAACTTTTTAGGCCCATGTATTCAAGGTTTTCAGTTGCACTGATTATATGAAGACTAGTAATATCAAAAACTGACTGCCTAAACATAGATGGCCGGAGCAGGTTTCACTTCAGTCAATGAAACGCAAGCAACTCAATCAGTAAGTCACAGCTTTTTATATTAATTTCGTAGTTAAGTCAAAAACGATAAGTGATTTAAAGTTGAGGTTATCCGCAAGGTTTCTAATTTTGATCAGGTGTATACCGCACGCAGGACTTTCGACTATTTTCCAGTCCATTTGGAGAGTAGATTCTGGATATAAGTGTAACTATTATTAGAGAATTCACTTAAAGTGGATAGAGATATCACCAACTATCTGTTATGAATATATTATAGTGTTCGTTTATAATTTGTTTTGCACATACCTAACCGTGCAATTCAATATAATGCACCTAAGTGTGTTTGTTCACAGTGTTTTTGACCACTATGATACGTGCTGCTTAGACCTGCGAATTTACAAGTTCGCACATAACATTCGGTACTATTACTACTGTGGTGTGCTACTAATGCCGACAGACATAAGTAGTATGTATCATCAATTGAAAGTGAAATGCCTGAAGGCAGAAGTTTAAGAAGCTCAAAGAAAAAACGATTGGTGTTGACACGAAAGAACAATGAAGTCTGAGACGATTGATTGACATTTTGCAGAAGGAACAATCAAGTTTGAGACACTTGACTGATATTTTGCAAATGAAGAATTTACTGTATGGTTCCAAAATTTTACTAGGATGCTCTGTAATTTCGTATTCAAATAAATTCGATTCTTCCCGCTTGTGTTCTTGTTCACTAAACCATTACTGAGGAAACCTTACACTTTCGGTGTACACTAAAGCTTGACATCGCAGATGAAAAACATATGTGAAACAATAAATTTACGGTTTAAACCGTTGAATGAAAATTACAATTTTATAAGCGAAATCAACCTTCTAAATAAACGAGAAAATCATTGGAAGTGCTGACTACGACACGCTGTGTACATTGAAACATTGCAAATAACCTTGGACATCCCATAAAACATGAAACATTCAATCTGCAAACACAGTTGGAACAGTAGTTTAATTCAATAAAAATTATAATTAATAAAATATACTTAGTAGAAAAAGTACAAAGTCACTTCATTTGAGACCATTTACAGTAGGGTCACAGAAACTCAAATAGACGGGGTTATTGCAAGTATAAAGGAAGGACTAATTTGCTGACTCTCATTACTGTGACGAAGACACTAATATATATATATATATATATATATATATATATCCCACACACATCGACAGATGTAGGTGAAGAAAGCCAGTGTAGTAGCAGCATGCCTCAACAAACAACAGAAAAAGAAAGAGTAAGTAACAAATAAATCACACCTGATGGAGCTTGGAAAGAGGTGGAAGCTTTTGCGTATCTGGACAGTATCAGCAATAAACAAGTGGGATCTAATGCAGATGTGAAGGTATGGATTGGGAGAGCAAGGGCAGCATTCATACAGTTGAAGAACATATGGAACTCAAAACAACTGTCAACCAATATCAAAGTCACAATCATCAATACGAACGTCAGGACAGTTCTACTGTATGGAGCTGAAACTTCGAGAACTACCACAACCATCATCGAAAAGGTACAAATATTTATAAACAGTTGCCTACGCAAGATACTCAATGTCCGTTGGTCGGATACCATCATTAACAGCCTACTGTGGGAGAGAACAAACCAGTTTCCAGCTGAAGGGGAAATTGGGAAAAGACGATGATACTGGACAGTACATACATTACGGAAATCATTGAACTGAACAAGAATGGACAACACTTGGGAAGTTCCAGGGAGAAGAGCCCAAGACAGTGTTGGTTGAGGATTCCTAGTTGGCGATCTATGTTCTACGAGGGGTGCTTTGATGTCCTGGTGTCCGTAAGTAGTTAGTTTATTGATACTTTCATTACCTGTGGAAAATGTTTTTTTACGCGTTGGCGTTCAAGTTAATGAGTTCCGCATTTCCACAAGGTTGATCTGTTAAGCGTCTCATGAGAGACGCGATTCAATATGAACCCTCGATGAAAACTGACCAAGCCGTTAAATGTACGTATTCGCTTGACTGTGGTTGGTTCTGGGTGATCCGGAATGGCCGTTATTTTGCTTTTCAGATGGTGGATGCATTCAACATCAATAGTGTGTCCGAGAAGATCCAGAGAGTCGGTTCAAATCTAACACTTCTTAATAGCTGCATTAATGCCGTGTTTTTGAAGTTGTATCGGAACAAGGTCCAGATGCTGGAGATGAGACTCTCCATCCGATAATGCGATCAAGCAGTTATATATATATATATATATATATATATATATATATATATATATATATATATACTCGACGTTGAGAACCCTAAAGACGTCGTTGATGAATCTGTGGGAAGTTTAAGCAGCACTTCAGGAACCGAAAAGCGTATGCAAAATTCCGTAGAGTAGTGACGGTAGCGGTTTTAGGAATGTTGTCAGCAGCCATGGGAAACGTGGTTATAAGCTTTATCAAGATCGATTTTCGAAAACGTCATTTTTTGGGTAGCTGTGAAATCGTGAATGTGTTACAAGGAATAGCAATTGGGAGTGATTTTCGTATTCACTCGCCGACAATCATCAGTTGGACGCCAATCATTGCTGTCCTTTTGAGGAACCATGTGCAAGGGAGATACGCATGGGCTGTTTGATGGCAGAATAATTTATAACTTTTCGGGAGCTAGTTGGCACACTTTCGAAAATACAGGTGGCCATACATAGCGGAAACCATCTGACTGCACCCCATGGTAAGCCCTGACTTGGAATCCTCAAGATAAACGGAGGACAGATAAACACCTAAACCATGTATTTCAATTGGTAACAACTGTAAGAGGGAGCTATCTCCGCCTGATGTCACTCAGGGAGCTACTGCCGGTCGCAAGCCCAGATAAAGGAGAGGGGTTGGGCATGAGGTTACCGACCCCATCCCGTAGAAAACTTATTCGCTAAAAACATGCTAGCCAGAAAAAATTATTCCAACCATTTGAACTCTGCCCTGAGAGTCAGGTCTTCATTTAGAAGAGTTATTACGCCTCATCATGAAAACCGGGTTCCTTCGGAAGTCACGATGACGATGCCCCTTTTGACTACCAAACCAACCATTAATTTAGGTACGTGGGATGCTTGTACAACGTGAGAGACCGGGAGAGCAACTGGAAAGGGATAAAAAAGTCAATAACTTCAACATCCCATGAGGTTCTGAACCACAAGAAGCACCATCACAAGGAATGGATCACTGTTGATACACTGCATAATATTCAAGAAAGAAGGAAGAAGAAGGCAGCAATCAATACCAGCCGAACAAAAGCAGAAAAAGCCAATACACAAGTGTTGGGATATTCAGAAAAATATCCCAAAAACAATTATCCGGTTTAGTCTAATGCTACCTTTGAACGTTAAATGGTGTCATTTTCCTATTGGTCGTTTCCCTACTAATCAATATTTATTTCGCGTGTCATTTCCCCATTGGTCAATATTATCCACGTGTCACCTTTCTGTTGGTCAATATCTATAGTAATCCTAACTGTATAAATATGCATTTGTTTGTAAATCATTATTCGGTTCGTGTTCTGATATATTGGAGATTGGCAACAGTATTGGGGGTCGAACTGGGATATCTGAAGCTGGTCAATCGGTAGAATTTAGAGTAGCCACCTCGGGATACACAATAACAAGCTGAATACACAGAAGTAAACAACCAAGTGAAGAGGAGCACCACAACCGACAAACGTAAATACGTGGAAGATCTGACAACGACGGTGGGAAAGGAAGGAAACATGAGACAACATGACACAACAAAGAAACTCTCTGGGAATCGCCGCAAACCAGAACGACCAGTGAAAAGCAAGGAAGGCAAGGTAATCACCAGCATTGAACAACAGCAAAACAGATGGGTAGAACACTTCAAAGAACTCTTGAATCGACCAGATCCACTGAACACACCCAACATCGAAGCAGCACCCACGGACCTCCCAATCGATGTTGGCCCACCAATAATTGAAGAAATCAGCATGGCCATCAGGTAAATCAAGAGTGGCAAAGCAGCAGGACCAGACAACATTCCAGCAGAGGCACTGAAATTAGACGTATCGGTAACTGAAAGGATACTTCATATTCTCTTCAGCAAGATTTGGGATGAGGAACAAGTACCAACAGACTTCTGATCAAAATACCGAAGAAAGGCGATCTCAGCGAACGTGATAACTACAGGAGCATCACTCTTCTCTCAATACCGTAAAAAGCCTTCAACAGGGTATTGTTAAACAGAATGAAGGACTCCGTAGACCCCCAACTTCGAGACCAACAGGCTGGATTCCGTAAGGATAGATCGTGTACAGACCAAATAGCAACACTATGGATCATTGTGAAACAATCAACTGAATGGGGTTCATCACTCTGCATCAACTTCATTGACTACAAGAAAGCATTTGACAGCGTGAACAGGACAAAACTATGGAAGCTTCGTCAATATCATACGGAATCCCTATGATGCATTAAACTGCGAAATAGTGCATGGAGGATAGTTGACAAACTCGTTCGAATTAAAGAGCGATGTCAGGCAAGGTTGCTTACTCTTACCCTTTCGCTTTCTCCTGGTGATCGACTGGATCATGAAGACGTCAACATCTGAAGGGAAGCACGGGATACAGTGGACAGCTAGAATGCAGTTGGACGATCTAGACTTCGCAGATGATCTGGCTCTTCTATCGCAAACGTAACAACAAATGCAGGAGATGATCAGTGTAGCAGCAGTAGGTCTCAATGTACACAAAGGGAAAAGCAAGATTCTTCAATACAACACAGCATGCACCAATCCACTCACAATTGACGGAGAAGATTTGGAAGATGTAAAAACCTTTACATATCTGGGTAGAATCATTGATGAACAGAGTGGATCTGATGCAGATGTGAAGACGCGGATCGACAAAGCAAGAGCAACATATTTAGAGTTGAAGAACATATGGAACTCAAAGCCATTGTCAACCAACACCAAGGTCAGAAATTTCAAAACAAATGTCAAGACAGTTCTACTGTATGGGGCGGAAATCTGGAGAACTACGAAAGCCATCATTCAGAAAATACAAGTGTTTATTAACAGTTGTCTACAGAAAATACTTCGGATCCGTTGGCCAGACACTATTAGCAACAACCTACTGTGGGAGAGAACAAACCAGATCCCAGCGGAGGAAGAAATCAGTAAGAAGCGCTGGAAGTGGATAGGACACATATTGAGGAAAGCACTCAACTGCATCACAAGACAATCCCTCACATTGAATCCTGAAGGCCGAAGGAAAAGTGGAAGACCAAAGAACACATTACAGTAAGAAATGGAGATAGACATGAGGAAAATGAACAAGAATTGGATGGAACTAGAAAAGAAGGCCCAGGACAGAGTGGGGTTGGAGAATGCTGGTCGGCGTCCTATGTTCCGTTGGGAGTAACAGGCGTAAGTAAGAAAGATCCCAAAACAGGGTATTTGAAGATTCCTGGTCGGCGGGCTATGCTTTCAAAGCGGTAGCAGGCCCACATGGTTAGTCACATATAAGTAATGTCTCAAAGGTGTCGACATTTATTTCAGAAACATTTTTTTACTTTTTTCAGGTGTATGTCATTTATAACTAGAACAGTAGAAGACAAAGTTATGTTTACAACAAATACTTTTAGTTGTCGGATGGGATGTGTGGTCATGATTAAGAAGTGCTGACGGCACATCTTTAAGGCTTATTCAACTATGCAGATGTTGGGGATGTTAGATCTCCAGAACTAACTTGGTAAATACCTTGTTTTTGTAATTTTATTTTACAAAGTTGAATTTTGTTTTTGCGCCAAAAGCGCTTATATATATATTCCCATTTCGAGCTTGAAATTCACTCTACAGTAAGCGGGGCTGGGACGCGTCAGAATCGCTAGCTTATTAGTCTTTGGTCACAGGGTCTTTGTTCCGTTCTCAAATTAAGTGAACTCGTAATCGCTTCAAACGACAGATAAATTATTGGTTAGGAGACAGACTAAGAATTCGTTTGTAAGCACATAAATAATCAATAACTATAAATAAACACGGACATTTGTACAGTACACACTTTATTCTTACTCTTTCTTTACTGAACACAATATCAAATACTGCTTCTGTTGCATAACCACGTAGAACAGCTAATGCTAAACCAATCATTTTACGTATTTGATGCAGCATAAACGACTGACCAGTAATACGTATAATAGTATATTGATGCTCACCGAGTAAAAATGTTGGCATACATTTGGCTGATATAATATATCGATTACAACTACTATCCGTTGCAAGTCTTGTGTTAAAATTAATCAAAAGAAAAGTTTAAATATCGAACTGAAGAGTACGAAAATAGACTAACAAATAATTGAAAAACAAAGATATAGATTAACACACTTTTGACTTATTGAAAAACATTTTACATCACCCATATATTGGATGGTTGAAGGTAATCGGCAAAAGCCATGGTTCATCAAAATCTCGAAATACTTGCTGCTCCTCAAGAGAGATTATGTGTAGTTTTAATAGGTCTAATATACTCGTGATCTTGGAGTACATGTCATTTAATATCACGGTCAGTTGTGATATTGACACGCTAGTAAACGTAATCAGTTTGAGTCACTACAGTCTATCAATTGTTAGATATTCCGCTAATATGTTCTAACTGTGCATCAACTAAAAAATGCATAAGGAAGGAGTACAATATATATATAACTCAACAATTTAGCTACAATTGTTAATCAAAGCAGTATAACCCATCGGTGTTGTAAACCGTTACATGTATTAACTCACTGACTGATTTGTATCAACTATAGCTTCGTTGTTACTCATTGTGTTACAGTTTAGGATCAAGCCTTGATATAATGGGCACAACTCAAGAATGGTAAGTCGTATAGTAATAGTACATAGGTCGAAATAAACCTTATGATAAGAGGAACACGAATACGAATAGTTTAGCTACTTAACAATTAAACGGTAAAAATATACGTATAGTATTGGTCCAGAAATAGATTCCAACAGTAACCATTCATTATTCTCATCGACCCGAGCAACAGGAGGTCAACAGACTGAAATACAAAGTTAACTGTTTGTATGACTTCATTTTATCGTAGTCAAATATACTCGGTCACAATTAGGTATACAAGCGGTCCATACTATGAATGGATACTTAATGTGTACCTAGAATTGTACCAAACATGACCAAAATTACTGCGCGTAACCAACAATGTTACACAGCATATCACGCCCACGTGGCCCCCAGTATTTTCGAAAGTGTGCCAACTAGCTCCCGAAAAGTTATAAATTATTCTGCCATCAAACAGCCCATGCGTATCTCCCTTGCACATGGTTCCTCAAAAGGACAGCAATGATTGGCGTCCAACTGATGATTGTCGGCGAGTGAATACGAAAATCACTCCCAATTGCTATTCCTTGTAACACATTCACGATTTCACAGCTACCCAAAAAATGACGTTTTCGAAAATCGATCTTGATAAAGCTTATAACCACGTTTCCCATGGCTGCTGACAACATTCCTAAAACCGCTACCGTCACTACTCTACGGAATTTTGCATACGCTTTTCGGTTCCTGAAGTGCTGCTTAAACTTCCCACAGATTCATCAACGACGTCTTTAGGGTTCTCAACGTCGAGTATATATATATATATATATATATATATATATATATATATATATATATATATATATATATAACTGCTTGATCGCATTATCGGATGGAGAGTCTCATCTCCAGCATCTGGACCTTGTTCCGATACAACTTCAAAAACACGGCATTAATGCAGCTATTAAGAAGTGTTAGATTTGAACCGACTCTCTGGATCTTCTCGGACACACTATTGATGTTGAATGCATCCACCATCTGAAAAGCAAAATAACGGCCATTCCGGATCACCCAGAACCAACCACAGTCAAGCGAATACGTACATTTAACGGCTTGGTCAGTTTTCATCGAGGGTTCATATTGAATCGCGTCTCTCATGAGACGCTTAACAGATCAACCTTGTGGAAATGCGGAACTCATTAACTTGAACGCCAACGCGTAAAAAAACATTTTCCACAGGTAATGAAAGTATCAATAAACCAACTACTTACGGACACCAGGACATCAAAGCACCCCTCGTAGAACATAGATCGCCAACTAGGAATCCTCAACCAACACTGTCTTGGGCTCTTCTCCCTGGAACTTCCCAAGTGTTGTCCATTCTTTTGGTGTCTGTCTGAGGTTTCAGGGGCAATGTGTTCTTTGGTCTACCTCTTTTCCTTTTACCTTGAGGATTCCATGGGGTGCAGTCTGATGGTTTCCGCGATGTATGTCCTACCCACTTTCATCGTCTATTCCCAATTCCCTCTTCAGCTGGAAACTGGTTTGTTCTCTCCCAGAGAAGGCTGTTGATGATGGTATCCAATCAATGGATGTTGAATATCTCCCGTAGACAGCTATTTATAAATATTTGTACCTTTTCGATGATGGTTGTGATAGTTCTGGAAGTTTCAGCTCCGTACAGTAGAACTGTCCTGACGTTCGTATTGATGATTGTGACTTTGATATTGGTTGACAGTTGTTTTGAGTTCCATGTGTTCTTCAACTGTATGAATGCTGCCCTTGCTCTCCCAATCCATACCTTCACATCTGCATTAGATCCCACTTGTTTATTGCTGATACTGTCCAGATACGCAAAAGCTTCCACCTCTTTCCAAGCTCCATCAGGTGTGATTTATTTGTTACTTTTTCTGTTGTTTGTTGAGGCATGCTGCTACTACACTGGCTTTCTTCACCTACATCTGTCGATGTGTGTGGGATAGGAAGGGCTAGGTCATATACGAAATCCAAATCGTCTAGTTGCATGCAAGCTGTCCACTATACTTTTTTATCCTTTTTCAATTATCCTCCATAGTGGTTTCATCTTCTTTGAGTAGATCTTGTAGGGCTTGGAACCTGATGCTGAGAGCTATCTTGGATTTGTCAGTATTTCAAAGGAATGCTGTATTGAACGTTTTTAATGCTGTCTCTCTAGTTATCCAATGCTTCTTTATCTTCAGTTTCATTTCGGCTACCACCATGTGGTGATCTGAAGCTATGTCAGCTTCTCTCCTAGTTCTTACGTCTTCCGACTTTCCGAACTTTTTACTGATGTAAATATGATCCGTCTAAATCTCTGTAGTGTGGTCTGGTGAGACCCATGTAGCTTTGTGTATGTGTTTGTGTGGGAATATTGTGCCACCTATAACCATTTTGTTGAATGCACATAGATTTGCGAATCTTTCAACATTCTCGTTTCTTTCTCCCAGTCAGTCCATGTCGTCCCATGACATCTTCATGCCCGAATTTGGCATTTAAGCCTCCCATCAGAATGATCAGGTCCCTTCCTGGGCACTTCGCTAAGATTGATTGTAGCCTCTCAAAAAACTGATATTTATCGTCGTCATTGCTATCATTGCTTGGTGCATAACATTGGATAACATTCATTGTGATTCCCTCCTTCTTTGTGTTTGAAGGATGCTTTGATGATTCTGGGTCCATGAGGTTCGCATCCTATGAGTGCTTTACGTGCTTCTTTGGATGTCATCAGAACAACTCCCTGTGTGCGGAGCATTTTCTTCCTCGTGACCAGAGTACAGCAGCAACTCTTCCGAATCTATTCGTTTCTGTCCAGCTTGTGTTTAATGAGTTTTACTGATTTCGAGTACTACACTGTCGTATCTCTTCATTTCGGCAACTATTCGGTTGGGATTCCTTGTCTCTTCCATTGCCTGAACATTCCATTTACCTGTATTAATTGTTGCTCTGATTGTTAGAAGCATCGACCTCGTTACTTTAGAAGAATATCAACTTTCATCATGACGGTTCATAATCCTTCGGAATGAAGATCCTTCAACTCCCAGGAAAAACGTTTGAATGTTTTAAATTGTTTATTCAGGTTAGTGGTTTTTTTCGATTGTTTTTTACTGGATAGGGTTGCTGATCTCATGCCCAACCCTCCTTATTCACCTGGGTTTTAGACCGGAAGTAGATCTAGAAGAGCTACAGGCGTAGTTTAGTATTTTGTCTAAGTACAACAAAGAAAATGACCATGTTCTAAAAACCCGCTACAAATACTTTAAGCAAGTATTTGACTTAAAAAATATATCGTAGTTTGGAGTATACGTAAATCTATTAATCGGGAAACGATTCAGTGGCTATAGTAATTTCCTTTGACGGGTTCAAACTCGTTCTGTTTAACTTAGTTCAAGGGGCTAAATAGTAGTATCCCTATCCCTCGTATAAACATTGTTGCTCAAAATCGAATACGTAAACCTGTGTCCTTGACGAATGAGCAACTTAAAACAACATATTAATAAAATTATGTTTACGGTAGGTAATCCAAAATACAATAATCATACAGGCAAAAATAGTTGGTTTCTACAGTTGTGATATTAGTTTTTTGTCAAGGGTTAAAGGCTACGGATGGATGAGCAATAAAGCGTAGAAAATTTCAGGCCAAGTGAAATTTCTGCTTTAGTGTTTTCTTGAAGGGATAACATAAAAATTCATCTGGGATTTAATATTTATTCTATTGATTCAGTACGTATTCAAGACATTTTGGTATTTGTTGAACCGATATCTATACTTTACCGAATTCCCCAAAGTCAGTAGTTAGCAGTCGACTTATACTTTTTGTGAGTGGGAGATAATGATACTAAATAAGTGAAAAATTGTTTAATCTATGATTCAAAAAATCGAAAATTTCAGTGGATGCCCAAGTAATTACACTAACAAAAAAAATTTAATTTCAGCACGACTATGAGGAATAATTATCAGTTTCAGAACTTAATATTTAATTTGGTGCTAAATGCTGACTAGCTTAGGAGTAGGTTAGAGAAAAACCAGGGATGGCCAAACCAAAACGTGGCATTTATTCACAAGGAAACGGACTATCGATCTGAACTATATTGGCAGCAGCAGATTATCTAGATGAGGTCCAAACGTTAGCTGTAATCATTGGTTAGGGAAATCAGGTAACATGATTCAAAAAGGACAATAACGACGCAGATTAATTTATTCTTTAATATCTTCTATATCCGCTGATAATGCAGTGTATTTCCATTTACTGAGGTTGAGATATGTGTACGTATGTATACGTATACCTAACCACCGGCTAACTAGACGAATTATGCTTCCTAATGTAGGAGTATGCTGTCAAACCAAGGCGATATCAGTTCATGAATTCATTGATAAGTGAACCGAGCAGTGTAGGCAAGCGCAGATTACCTGGTTGAGGTCCGAGTGATCATCGTAACTAGTGGTTAGACTTTGAGTGACATGGCTCAAAGACGTTTGTAATGGCACAAATCTACTCACTTTTTAACCTCCTTCGATTCTTGAATTATGAAATCTCACTAAAACTTTTCGCTTCTTTTTTCCTATATCTAATCTTTTCTACTACTTTGAGATTACTAATTTTATTTCGTTGCGGTGTGGCAACTTCAACCTACCCATAGGTTCTATGTTGAATACGGACCGAATTTAGGGAATCTCGTGTACTTTTTAAGCAGTTTCGGCAAACAGAAATAAGATGTCCGTAATTGGATGCAATTATCAAACATAGGTTTATGCATACATTTTAAGTGTTACGGCTGATGATATTACCTCGCTAAGAGTGGAGTGACATTTGAGACTGTGATCTACTATTGCTTTCAAGGCGTGCTTTAACCACTAATCAACCGACATCAGATGATCCCAAACATCAAATTTAGGAGTTAGCAAGGTTACCTCAAAATTGCAAGTCTGTGACTAGATTTATAAATAATTTAATTTTCTCAATAATAGTGACTGACTAGTCAGGAACAAACAAAAGGAATTACTTTGAATATTCAAATAACGACTAGAGATGATCTAATCTTTTGAAAAAATCATAAACACAACGAGAAGTTGAGAAACTGTGATCCCATAAACCATAACTTACCTTCCTGAAGTGAAATTATAAAAATTATGAGTACCTATATACTTTTCAAGTAAACGATTAACATGTGTAATTTGTTCAACTGTTAAACGGTAAGTCCAACAAGTAGAATCATTTAACAATGAAGAAGCAGGTGATAAGGCGAATGTAGGTAATAGATAATCATAAATTCGATGTGTACACGAACCGTATGAAGAAAACCCACGAGTTACGCGAATAATATCTAAAAGGCAAAAACGAAATACAAAGCTGTACACTTAGAAAGTATATATATATACTTTCTTGTTACTCAGTAATGTATGCTTGAAGGGTTGTGTTGTCAACTTTACTATTCCAGGATGCGGACTAACACCTTTATTTTTCTGTGCTTCTTGGGTACGACAACCACAACTGATGTACATACATACCAGTTTCTACGTTTTGACAGATCATTTCAGTTTTTACATCTGCTACTGATTATCATATTTTAGTTTGTTTGTAGTTCACTGGCTATGTGATTAAACCGTTCGATGTGTAGTTTCTAAATCTAGGGTTTGAGCCTTGTTATTTTGTCGAACTAGGCCTCACAAGTATGGGAGTGGAAGTAAAGTATCACAGCATTTGTTAATTAAGTTTATTTGTTTAGACACAAACATTGGTACAAAGGGGAACCAAACAGATATGCACCACATAAATCATTCGATTTGTGTGAGGGATGGGATACTACTCGGGTGACCGAACCGAAGCAGGTGGCTTTCTTAGGGGGCCACACCCGGAACCTCCGACCTAAAGGTTTAATCCACAAGGCAGTGGAGCAACATTAGAAGATGCAGTCCCATGGTAACCGGTGACCAACAATTGGTTCATACGCTACTTGTTCCCTCAGGATGCTGGAGTCCATGTGCACCACTGATTTAGAATCAGGGTTTTCCAACTCCCTGAGGTGGATCCTCCGTATCCACCAATCCGGTTAAAGCGCCGGACATTCTCCTTTCGTCCTCTCAACTTCGTGAACAATACCCCGCCACGATAAGGCAGTGAGTAGAACTTCCTTGGGAGTGGTTGTATACGCGTAGTCATGTGAGAGCATTTCGGAGGGAGAGATAACTCTTCCAACCCTCGACTGTACCAGGGCATCCGGGAGCATGGAGGGTCAGTCAGACAGTTAGTAGCAACATGGAACCTCGTACGTACGTACATCGGTTCAAGTTGCTATACCAAATTAGCACAGAGATGCAGTTGTCGATTCAAATCCCGTAGTGGTAGAGGTAGTAGCAGTATAAACAGTAGTCGGAAAGGTTAAGATTTGAAAATGTTATTCAAGGAGTATAATTTAGTGAAATAAATTTGGAAACAGAAAAAAAAGCGGGAACATGAAGAATTCAGAAGATTAGAATTTTGGTAAACACAAAGCGTGAATGCACCTGCGCCACTGCAAACGCTTTTCAGCCATGTCATTTAAGGTCTCTAAGCATCGGTTGCTATCATCTCGCGGTCCCCAACCAGGTAGTCTACACCTACCGACATGACTCAGTCCACTTGTCAGTGACTTCATGGACTTGTTCCATGTTTTGGTCTGGCCGCCCCTAGCTTTCTTCCAACCTACTCCTATACCACTGAACATCGCACGTCGAGGCAGTCGGTCGTTGGGAATACGTAGCATGTGTCCCAGCCATCTCAACTGATGAAGTTTCACCACTTCATCAATCGATCTGCCATCCTTACCTAGTACCCGTTTCCTAACAACTGCATTACTGACTCAGTGGTCCCAGGATATACGACCAATGTTTCGAAGACACCTATGATCAAATACTAGTAACCTACGAATATTCTCTACTCTTATCGGCCATGTTTCACTGCCATAAAGTAGGACGAAACGAACTGCTGAGCAGTAAACCCGTTCTTTGGTTGATAGACAGATATCTCGCCTACGCCATAAATGACGCAAGTTGGCAAAAGCTAGTCGAGCCTTCTGTATCCGTGCTGAGATTTCGTCACACACCAGACCACAAGGACTGATGAGACTTCCAAGATAAGCGAAGTGGTTGACACGCTCAACTACTTCACTCCCTATCACTAATTCGAGTGTCGATGCAACCCAATCCTACAGAAACATATTGCATTTCAAGGGGAGAATCGCATCTCGAACATTCGTAACCGTCTATAGAGAACAGGCTGTTCCTCGATAAGCTGGTTACCTTCCGAGACATCATTGGATGTCACCATTTGATATCCCATCAACTCCATAAATTGTTTCATTCACACTAGACTCTGCGTCAGTGGCTCAGATAGGTTAAATAGCTTCCCGAAGTTGCCAGATGCTGGAGCTGTTTCTTAATTGATAGCACTCTTCGACCACCAAATTTCTGTTTTTACACGAAACGAAAGTTTCGCAAGTAGGAACCAACGTTTACCATCAAAGTTGTGATTCGCCAGAGCAGACCGACGTTCCCCCAAGATTTGTTGGGAACTTAGTGATTGATTACGATGTGACCAACCTGATTTCAACCCAGCAACTTCTATATCGTGCATTGATTGCCGGTGCTGAGGCGGAGTGGGAAAAGAGGAAAGGTGGTCAATCTATGACATGGTCCAGTAGTGTGGAAAAAAGCTTTTCAAGATTGGCATCTGCCGCCCTACTATGAATCACTGGATAGGGTTTTATAGATATTACAACTCAGTGAATTAAGATGTTATCAGATATTGCTCAGAATTAGAAACCAGTGGTGGATCCCGCTGTAGTTTCCTTCTATATTCCTCATAAAATAAAGAACTTTAACTGAAAGGATCCTTTTTATTCGTATCTTTAAAACTGACTGCCTATTACAATTCATTCTCGTTCACTCATTTCAATTCATTTGTTCAGTTGACCATCCTTCCATTCCTTTCTCTATCTCCACACAATGTCGTTTTCTTATTGGTGTAGGGCATATTTATTTTGGCGTCGTTGTACTAGTATTTATGTGTATAAATAAATGAGTAATAAGTACTTAGTTCGCTCATACAAAGGTTGGGAAATATACTGTTTATGTTTTTCAGAAAAGGTGATTAACAAATAAGCCTGTGAACTTACCAAGAACACGAATATTTTCCGGTAGGGTTTTGTTTAATTTATTTAATAAATCTGTGTCTTCGCGTAACTTCAAGGGAGAATAAAAATTAGTTTAATCCATTAATAAAGAGACCTACTTGCATGGAACAAACTTGTCCAAGAGCGGAAACGGATTTGTCAGTTTTAGATGCACGTTGAAAATGAACCTGAAAGTCGGATGGAAATAAACAGAAGAATGAAATGCTGTTTAGCTCTTGCCACATATACCAATATATGATTATCAATAATTGAATGGTAGCCAAAAGCATGTTCGATATCGAGCAGTATGGTCCAATGTTGAGCAGAAACTTATTGAGTTGGAACTGAATGTACCAAACATTAATTACCTTAAAGAAATAGGTTGTTTAATATAAAACAGATGGTAGCGATTGAAATCAACTACTGTCCAGCCACCAGAAAAGTGAGAAAATTGCTCATATTATTTCATAATATCACTAATTTTGTGATAAACACGCTGGGATAAACATCATTTTGATAAATGATGAAGACAGTGTTTCAACCAACTTAATTCAGTCATAGGAGAGGTAGCCTGGTGGTGAGCATATCTGGTTTCAAACAATGGGTCATAGGCTTGAACTCCGCTTCCTATATTTTAATCTACACGACCAGTTAATATCTCCAAACCTTGTACATTGTAGTACGAATATATATATTAGTTCTAAACAGCTGACTATACATGTGGTTATAAATCAGTTGGTCATAAGTAAATAAAATTAAAAACGGGCTTTGTTGACGGGATGATAAGCAGGATAATAAAGTAATATACATTGGACGCAAGTATACAAGTATATGTAAAGCAATAAACCTCACACCATCAGGTCAGAGGTGCGATTCTTGCTTCATTTACTTCGGACTGAGCGATGACGGAGGTACACCAGTCCATACACAATATTTTTATTCTATTTTAAAACATAGATATTGGTACAAGGAGGCACCAAATACATATGCGCCACACAAATCTCATTTGATATGTGTGAGGACTATGATACTGCCCGGGTGCTCAAACCGAAGCAATAATGGTGGCTCAGTACAAAAATCTTTACATGGTTATTGAGTTGCGGTACGAAATTGCTGGTTTACGTCTTAGGCGAATCATATCTATTTTATCGCATTGGCTTTTATGCTAAAAATTTTGTTTGTTGAAGGCCGGGTGGGAGAAGTATCTGACAGTTTGAGACAGTAGCATGAAATAAAAAACTGTCGAGTTTATTCGGCACATACTGATGTGCCCTGATGCTGTTGAGTAGTAGTTCGAAAAGTTGACAGATACGGATACACATAAACACTATTACTAAAGTCATACACAATTATTATTTGAACACAAATATTGATACAAAGGGGAACCAAACAGATATGCACCACATAAATCATTCGATTTGTGTGAGGGATGGGATACTACTCGGGTGACCGAACCGAAGCAGGTGGCTTTCTTAGGGGGCCACACCCGGAACCTCCGACCTAAAGGTTTAATCCACAAGGCAGTGGAGCAACATTAGAAGATGCAGTCCCATGGTAACCGGTGACCAACAATTGGTTCATACGCTACTTGTTCCCTCAGGATGCTGGAGTCCATGTGCACCACTGATTTAGAATCAGGGTTTTCCAACTCCCTGAGGTGGATCCTCCGTATCCACCAATCCGGTTAAAGCGCCGGACATTCTCCTTTCGTCCTCTCAACTTCGTGAACAATACCCCGCCACGATAAGGCAGTGAGTAGAACTTCCTTGGGAGTGGTTGTATACGCGTAGTCATGTGAGAGCATTTCGGAGGGAGAGATAACTCTTCCAACCCTCGGCCATACCAGGGCATTTGAGGGCAGCATGAGGCCTCGCCGAGAACCTAACTCAGGTCGCTCGATATAACAATAATTTTGATAGGAATAGTTGTTGACTTACTCTTTTATGTTCTTCACCTGTCAGATTATCGAGTTGACCACAAGTAAAGAGAGCTTTAGACAATTCTCCTTCAATGGTTGGAAAAACAGGGCATCTGATTGAAATTTTATTCAAACAGACACAAAAACAGTAATAAAACACGACTGAAATTCCAAATATATAAAACAATCTTACAATTAGTAATTGCCAAACGGTTAAAAAACATATGGGCGTGTAAAAATAAGACTTTCATTTAAGCGTTTTACAAAAAATTGTTCTCAACATACGAAGATGAAATTAGGGTAATAAAACATGTACCCCATGAAGATATAAATCAAATGTAAAAATTGAAGGAATGGAAGGAAAAACGGTGTACAAAGCATTAAGGTTAAACGTGAACTCTTATCCTTATATGAAAAACGAAAGTAAACTATATTTGTACAAACGATTATGACTCGATATTATGTCCGAAAATGTAAAGATGCACGAGTAATCTCCACCTGAAAAACCCCTGCTATCAAGCTTGACAAATATTTATTCCCAATCAACCTAAGAGCTAACGTCTTAGGAGCTTAACAGTCTAGACAGTATAATTAAAATATTTGGTCCTCAAGAACCAGTATAAGATAACGACTATCAGTCAGATGAACCAAACGTGGAGAAAAGGATTTGTCCAAGTTTCCACGCTACAGGGAAATAAAATTAGTAATCTCAAAGTAGTAGAAAAGATTAGATATAGGAAAAAAGAAGCGAAAAGTTTTAGTGAGATTTCATAATTCAAGAATCGAAGGAGGTTAAAAAGTGAGTAGATTTGTGCCATTACAAACGTCTTTGAGCCATGTCACTCAAAGTCTAACCACTAGTTACGATGATCACTCGGACCTCAACCAGGTAATCTGCGCTTGCCTACACTGCTCGGTTCACTTATCAATGAATTCATGAACTGATATCGCCTTGGTTTGACAGCATACTCCTACATTAGGAAGCATAATTCGTCTAGTTAGCCGGTGGTTAGGTATACGTATACATATGTACATATATCTCAACAACCTCAGTAAATGGAAATGGTTGGAAGATAGTTAAGGGCGGCCAAACCAAAACGTGGGATCAGTGTTTGAAGTCACTAACTTGTGGCCTGAGCCATGTTGATAGATGCAGACTACCTGGTTGAGGTCCGAGTGATCATCGTAACTAGTGGTTAGACTTTGAGTGACATGGCTCAAAGACGTTTGTAATGGCACAAATCTATTCACCCTTTATCCTCCGTCGATTCTTGAATTATGAAATCTCACTAAAACTTTTCGTTTCTTTTTTTATATACCTAATCTTTTCCACTACTTTGGAATCGCTCCTTGGTTGTGGTCCGCATGTTTATCGTAACCTATGGTTGGAGACTCTTGATGACATGGCTCAGAATCGACCACAGTAGCGTAGGTGTATACACTATGTCTTCCCTTAAACTATGAGATTAAAATCGCTTCATATCTTTCTACGAACTAATTCTTTCTTGCTGTACTATATCCTTATTGCAATATTTCTTTTGAATATTAGCACCACTGGATTGGCTACTTCTATGAGTTCGGTCTTTATCTGTTGTGCTAATGAGGCGTGGCAACTTGGACCGATGCACATACGTGCCTGGTCCTATGTTGTGACTGACCACATCTATCTAATACCCTATGTCTAACCTCAACATTTCAGTTGTCCTAGTATATATGAACAGTGAACTGGTTTGACTTATCATTTAATTGAGAAATGGAAAGGAAGATAGTCATGAGCACTGGATATAATTCTGAGTTAAATCAAAGTTTATGTGCTGGTAAGAGCTTTAGTATCAGGTCCATGACACTAATGATACGTCTGATAAAAGCGATTCAAGTTCGAGTACGCAACCTAACTTTTTTGTGGATAATTTAGGAGATTGTGTATATACAAGAATACTTTTAAGACAGTTGGAATCCACCTGAGGTTTAATAATACATTCTTACTAATATCTGATATTTTCGGCCATGTTTCGTAAACATATATGAAAGCAGCAGAGCGAGCTGCTGGTCTTTTGTTTGGCAAACGGATGTCTCGATTACATCACAAGTGATGAAAGTTAGCACAATCCAACCGAGCCATCTGAACCCGGGTCAAAATTTCGCGAGACATCAAACCCAACACAGGTGATGAGAATGATGATGGTTCTAATGACGTCATTAATACGACCCAATAATCCGGTTTCTATTGCATTATGACGAAGGACATCGTTATGTCAACCTAAAACTTTTTGAATAGCGGCAAACTATCTAGATAAGGTCTTTTGACTCTGATAGCTTAGTTAGCAGTGGCTTACGCAATGAATTCAACTAAGGGATCCTGATCTTTCGAGTATTTTTATCTCCCTAGAAAAGCTGTTTAGGCTTTGATGTAATATTATTCAGTTTATAGAATCAATCTCAGGTAGTAGTATTTTCGCATTCCTCAAAATTCTAAATCATCTTCATTCACTGAACATGCATATTGTGAATAGCACGTACTTCTAAGGACACTCCTAGTGTGTATAAATAAATGTGTATACTTTGTGCAGCGATATAGGAAATGTCCACGACGATAGAAGCAGCTGCCCTCACCATACAACATAGGATATGAAGTTGCTCTTATTACAGTCGACAAATGTTTCCGTTAATCTAGATTTTGTAAGAAAGTTTCGGTCGATGATACACACTTAAGGCATGTAGCATTTTAGCGAATGTTTACGCATACAAACACAATTAACTGTTCACAATCAAAAAGTCGAATAAATAGCGCATCAGATTGTCAACTAACCTTTGCATACCGTAATAACCCCAACCTGAATACATCAACAAAATGGCATTATTCCTACGTTTAAGTCTGGTAGAATGATTGGACGAACCAGGGATTGATTCATCAACAACCGGTTTTGAAGATGATTGTTTTAAATTGGCAATTTCGTAAGACTTCAAAACAGACATCATGGAAAGAAAGAAATCACCGAAACAGTTTGACCTTTTCATAAAACTTCACGAGAAATATTATCAATCTCTCAAACCAAGCTCTTTTTCCCGTTTCTCTTTAAAAATAAGTGCTTTCGCGTAGTCTTGTTGCTGTTTTTTGATAATAGGTCGTTTAAATATATAATACTGGGCTAGTGAAATAACTGTGTACCCTGTCAGGACTACACCGAACATAAAGCAAGTGAAAACTGCACCACGATGAGCAGTCGTAAGAACACGGTTTAATGTGCTTCTTTTGTAACTCTTTTTCTGCATAATATCATAACAGCACGACCACGCCGCAACTGCTATTTGAAAAACCCCTAATGTGTCCAACATCCAATATACAGTATTTGAAAATAAAACGCATTGTGTGATGATGAAGTTGGATAAATCACCAGCTTACCTAGTAAGTGAAGAGTAATTTGATCAATGTTGAGCAAGTGCAATTTGAGGATTGGTTTTCGCAACTAATTCATGCCCCCCGGAAAAGAGTTGTATTTGTTGGAGGGGATAACGTTAATTCATTTCAAAGAACCACAGGAATAGTTGAAGTCAAGTCCGTGAGTTATGGGTCTTATTGATTTTGCGGCCATTGAGGCAGTAAGTTGTCATGAGTTAGTTATAGGGAATTGCTGAAGACTATTTTTAAGGGAATTTATAGGCTTGGCAGGAATATTCTTATAGTCTTTGACAGTAAATAAGTAGACTCAGGGCCGGAATTGCGATTGCGGAGTTTTTGTGGATGTGGTAAATCTGTGTTTTTAATAAAAAATTAATACAACGTCCTGTCATGAATTGTCCAAATTTTTGAACACTACAATCTTTCTGAAAATTAAAAGTTAGTGAAGTGGGTAAGCGGTCCCAGCCAAGTTTAATATATGCGGCATAATGCATTATTGTCTGCTTCACGTAATTTCGAGCAAACACTACGTGTTTGACAGGCCTTTGATTTAAGTAATTAGTTATATTAAACTTTACAGGATTTGGCATTCACTGAGGTCTGTTATGATATATAGTCGTTCATCCTTTTAGTTTCATCCATTACTGTGGTATTTCATCTTTCAGGTGTTATGGCTAAGTGACTGGAAGATGAGTAGTGACGTATGGGATGCACCGAGCTAAACCATCTCTAGAGACTAAGAGCAGAATTTATGGAGTGAAGTGTTGGTACTAGATTTTGGGTGCTTGTTCACTGTTATTGAGTTATCGTTCTGCTTATGTCTAAATAAGTAGTGAGCGTTGTTATCAATGGAACGCACCGGACAAAAGCCAGCTCAGAATTGAACTCACCGCTTTTTGTTTCAGAGAGCTTGAGAGGCTTGCGTTAAGGTAGTCATTTCATATTTCAAGTACACGAGGTCAACTATGTGTTTGTAAGCTAGCCTAACTTAGTAGTATATGCGCATTTAGACCCGTATGTTGCAACTAACACCGAATGACATATAGCCATCTGTGTAGTGTGCTTTTGTCTAATTGTTGTCACCGGTAAAATGCGTGCCTACCTTAGTTATACAGATGCTTAAACATCTATCAGAGAAACTGAATCATACAGACATATTTCGCATTTACGTGAAATAGAATGTAATTACCGTATTACCAATATTTTTACAAAACATCCAATAATCCCTAATCACTTATTTTCATATTGTCCGAAGTACGTAAAGGTAGACCGGTATTGCTGACATATACAGATGCCGTGTGTAACAATCTTACGGTGAATACTGAATTTATCCAGATAAATTAGTAAATTTTTATGTCACCCAGAGTTAACACTGTTTGGATAACTTATTATCCTAAGAGCATGTATATAGTACATCTACTCCACAACACAAAATGCCTGTCTTCTTACCACTTAGATTGGTACTGCTTACGATAACTCAATAACTGTTCATTAACGTCTTCATTAGACAGGAATTCATAAAATTATCTATAGAGATAATTAAAAACCTTAAGAAAAGCATTACATTCTCTCTGACCGACGAAACAAAGGTCACAACACTAATGGATATCCATTTAAGATATTCTGATTAACGACTGTTAAGCAAGGACGACAGATATAGTTGCTTTAGAACTTTAATCTTCCCAGAGATAACATAACATGAATCCTTCATATAGAGTAGGGGACTGACTGTCTAGTGAAACAATATGTTTAAAGTAAATGTTGATATTAGACAACCTGTAGTGTTTAATACGGATATATTAAATGCATACGGCTGCATTCTCATCCAAATACTACTGTTATCGTAGTCCATTTGTGTCCACTCGTTGATAATATTCAATGTCTGTTCATTAGTGCTGTACATACTATTTGATCCAAATACTAACAATCACTTTGAGGAACATTTGTACTCTAGTTTTTAACTCATTTATTTATTTTCAGTCATCTGCCATAAAATAGCGAATACAACATAACTTTGTCTCATAAATAACATACTGTTCTTTAAATTGGCCATTAACACGTAGTCTATATAAGTGATCTACTCGAAACAAAGCAAACGAACAGGCAGTCACAGTTTATATAAGTTATCATTGTGGTCCTAGATTTTCAACACTTGCCATCACAAAGGTTATATATTATACACTAGTAGTTAAAACACTGATGATTTAAAAATACATATCTGTTAACCAGAAATAACCGATATTCTTACTACGGTCTGATTTGGGATAAATTTGTTGACCTTTACCCCATAAAAGTCGAGCTTTCGTTAACACAGTTCAATAAACAGAAATTGTTAGTATTTTACGTCACGAACGTTAAATGTCAGGGGCTAATTTCATCGCTTTTTGACTTCAACAGATAAAATCTCTTCAACTGAGGATTCAAGTAGTGTTATGAATTTACTCAAGAATTTTCAAACGATAGAACAGCAGTTGCTGTGGTGGTGTATTGTTAATAGTCAGTAAGATCCTCAAACACGCAAAAGGCAAGCATACCGGGAAGCCAGAGTGTGAGTCGAAAAATCTGTATGAAACCAATAAGTGTTAATCAATTGTGGGGAAGTTGCAGATTATCTGCATAAATAATTAATGGCGGAAAAGATGAAGATAAAGGCGCAGACTTGCGTTTAGTCAGATGTGTGGTGGTATTGGTCCTGACCACCCAATCCTCAAAGCTGAACATGACACAACTGGGAAAATAGTTATTCAAAATTTAACGCTAAGTAAGGCCAACAATGGCGAACTCGGGAATATTGGATTAAAAGAAATGGCTGGGCTCAGACTTGCAGACGTGGTCATTCTGTATAACTTGTCTTTACACCTAATATATTATTCTATTTTTAACCTAAATATGTTTTTTAGAACCTTCATATTGTTAATTGTTACTATACGATGAGTCAGTGCAGAAAGTGATGTGACTTCCACGTAGGAATTTATAGATTAGGCAGTCACATCATGATAAATCAACAATTTTAGGATTAGATGTATTATAATTATGGTAGACCATAATCCTACAAACTCACACTTTAACACAGAGGGTTAATCGTCTAATTTGCAGCAGTTGGGTGATAAAAACACGCTGGGCTCAATATATAGGCTCCCATCCAGAACATTTTTGTTTTTTTTCGTAACATCTATGTTTGACAAGGAGAGCCCGTTTCCAAAGTAGATGTACCACTTGGTGTGAATAGCAAGCGTTAAACTAGGGTAAACGTTTATGTGCGTTGAAATGTTACATACAATAATAATAATATATTTCTGCATGTGCAGGTACACACCGTTTTTACAGGCATGATCTATAAATTACAACATTTGTTGGTTCACAAAATGTTTCCCAACTTATTAAGTTTATAGTTGTTATAAAGTGAAATCGTAGAGCGCTTGCTGTAAACTATGACCTTGAGAGGACGCGTACATCAAGTTTGTTCCAAACGTCAGACGTTTCATAGCCGTGCTCTCAGAGCAAGATTCTGAAGAAAAAAAGCGAAACAGAAGAGCAGCAAGGCACTTTGATATGAACGCAAAACGTTGCTTAACGTAGTGTATTAGAACGGACAGAGGTATAATAAATTAGAATAAATTCATATTATGTCGTGTTAGTGAAATGTTAGTGAAATGTTTGACATAAACGGATGTAAGCACAATTAAGATCAGTGAAGCCAATAAAAAATAATCGTAAAACTAATGATAATAGTAGGAGAAGAGAATTTTTGTTCATAAAGGTTATGTGAATGATCTCGTAGTTTTGTTTAGATAAACATGATGGTTGCCAAGTACCTATCTGATAGCGTATTATGACATTAGTACACCCCTTATAATAGACCTAATTCTAAAACTGTAGATTTATCATGATATAACTGCCTAATCTACAAGATCTTGCGTGGAAGTCACATCAATGTCTAAACCAACTCATTGCATCTTAACAATCACTAATACACAATGGAGAACAGGCTTAGACCAGAGATCTTACTTATTTACTTACGCCTTTCACTCCTCGTGAAGGAACATAGGACGTTCACCAGCATTCTCCATCCAACCCTATCCTGGGCAATCCATTCCAGCTCTTTCCGTCTGTTATCCATCCTTTTCACATCTGCTTCTATTTCCCGACGTAATGTGTTCTTTAGCATTCCTCTTTTGTGTTCCCATTCAGGATCCCAAGTTAGGACTTGCCTCGTGATGCAGTTTGATTATTTGCGTAATGTATGTTCTATCCAGTATCATCGTCTTTTCCTAATTTCCTCTTCAGCTGGAAACTGGTTTGTTCTCTCCCAGAGAAGGCTGTTGATGATGGTATCCAATCAATGGATGTTGAATATCTCCCGTAGACAGCTATTTATAAATATTTGTACCTTTTCGATGATGGTTGTGATAGTTCTCGAAGTTTCAGCTCCGTACAGTAGAACTGTCCTGACGTTCGTATTGATGATTGTGACTTTGATATTGGTTGACAGTTGTTTTGAGTTCCATATGTTCTTCAATTGTAGGAATGCAGCCCTTACTTTGCCAATCCTCACATTTACGTTTGCATCTGATCCTCCTTGCTCATCGATGATGCTTCTCAGGTATGTGAAGGATTC